ATGCCAAAACCATTCAATGGAAAAGAGACAGAATCTTCAACAAATGGTGCTGGTTTAACTGGATGTCTACATGCAGAAAAATGCAAATAGATCCATACTTATCACCCTGCACAAAACTAAAGTCCAAGTGGATCAAAGACCTCAACATAAAACCAGACACACTAAACCACTTAGAAGAAAAAGTGGGGAAGAGCCTTGAAGTCATTGGCACAGAAGGCAACTTCCTGAACAGAACACCAACAGCACAGGCTCTAAGAGCAACAATCAATAAATGGGACCTCATGAAACTGAAAAGCTTCTGTAAAGCAAAGGACACTGTTGCCAGAACAAAACGACAGCCTACTGATTGGGAAAGGATCTTCACCAACCCTATATCTGACAGAGGAGGCAGTTTCTTAACTGAGGTTCCTTCCCTCTTCCCAGAGGATCCTGGCTTGTGACAAGTTGAGAAGAAAAAGAAAGAGAGAGAGGGGGAAAGAGAAAGGGAGGGAGGGAGGGAGGGAGGGAGGGAGGGAGGGAGGAAAGGAAAGTAACCTGCACTCTCTTCTTTTGGCAATGAGGAAGATGAAATGAAAATGAAAGACTGAAACACTTCTACAAGGAGAAGTGTGTGTAGTGAGGAAGCCTAGGACTGCACTTCAAAGTCACCTAGGACTTGCCCTCTGCCTTTCTATTTTCCTTAACATTTTTCCTAATTTGCCTTTTAATCTCTCTCCTTCTTCCTCTCTGCAACATACATACATACATACATACATACATACATATATATATATATATATGTATATATGTATTCCTTGTCAGTTCCAAGGTCAAATAACTTCTCAGTCTCCTAGCATGACTCACTCCTGAGAGTCAGCCAAACAATGATGAAATTATTGAACTAAGCATTATCTCAAAGGGCTCTGTGTCATTGCCTGCTCCTCCCTCACTTTACAGATCTGGCAGAGAGAGAGCTATCTAGGGTGGCATTATCTGCCACCTCAAGACCAGCCCAAGCCTCACCCTCTGCCTCCCTTCCTGGACACTAGGAAGAAGACCAAATCTTAAATTGCAAGCTTTACCAAAGCTAAGAAATATCCATGATCCCACTCTCTTCTTCCTCTGACCTAAGACACACAATGGTGTGCCCTTAGGCCTCAGCCTGGGTTTATACTTTTCCCTCGAGGCTAACATTGAACAATCTGTAGATATCTACTAGTTGCAACTATGTAGATGCTTCAGGCCACGCTGTGCTAACCTTATCACTTCCTGTTTTACTCACTCTGGAGTGTCACTCTAGGTTCCTAAGAAGGCCTCTGCCCTCTAGGGGATCTGCCGGTCTTTGCTCCAGCCAATTCTAGCTGCCAAGCATAGAGCTATAATGCAGGGACATAAGGAAAAGGCCACCAACGAAGCTTTACTTCAGAGTTCTGAACCACAGGGGTAGACGGCATCTCCCACTAGAACTCTTATAAAATCATAAAAACTTTTCTGTTTGTTTGATTTACATTTTGAGACAGAGTCATATGTATCCCAGGGTGGCCTCAAACTCACTATCTAGTCAAGGATAACCTTGAACTCTGATCCTCTTATTTCCACCTCCCATGTACTGGGATTTTAAATTTGTGTCACCACACTTAGCTTTAAGATATGTGACTTTAATCCCAGCACTCAAGAGGCAGAGGCAGGCAGATTTCTCAGTTTGAGGACAGCCTAGTCTACAGAGCAAGTTCCAGGACAGCCAGGGCTACACAGAAAACAAAAAGAAAAGAAAAGATAGGTTTCTTGAGCCATTTTGCATGCCATATAATTACCTATTAATATTCAGTTCAGTGATTAGTAAATTAATCAGATTGTGTGGCCATCAGCACAAAGCTGCTTTGGGCAGTATTTACATTTCTTTCGCAAGAGAATACACACGTGCTATTCTCTCCCTGTCTTTCTACCCTCCAGCACAGGGGACACTACCCTGGGGCCGGCTAAGCAGTGCATGTGAAGAGACTCACAGACTATGAGGTGTCACGTCTCTGACATCTGTCACTGAACATAACGGTTTTGAGGTTCGTCTACAACTGATACCCTGTTGTCATTTTGACTTGCAGTTTTCTGATTGATGATTGCTGATGTCAAACATTCATCTTGGCTATTCATATGTCTTTTAAAAATCTTTCTTTCTTTGGGATGGGGAGTCAGTTCTCTCCTTGTACTATGTGGGTTCAAACTCAGGTCTTAAGGCTTGGCGACAAGTGTCTGTTAGCAGCTAAACCAGTCATTTCAAACCTCTAACTTCACTAGTTTACTCAAATACAACCTGAAGCTTCTAGAGAGACTCAGGTGCCATCCAGAGAAAGCAGAACTCCCCACACATCCTCCAAAGTGCATTTCCTTGGTCCGACGTAATTTTCCAGTTTTAAAAAGGTTTAGAGATTTCTGTGCTGAAACAACTTTCAGGTTGTTTTACAACTTTTATTATTATAAAAACTATCATTTAAATAACCTTATAATGTAATGAAAGTACAGTGCATCTACTGAATAAATTCCTGGGAATAGAATTTGGGAGATCAGAGGCATATTTTTCTGCAATTTAGATAGAAAAGATCATTGTTTTTCTTCTATGAGATAGAAATACACAAGTGCTTTCTCAAACTCTCACTGTTTTTTTTAATCAAACTTTAAAAAAAAATAAACCAGTAGGAAAAATTATCATTTCAGTATCATCTCTCTTATCATCTCTCTTATTATAAGTATAGATTAACATAGTTTGAATGTTTAAGTGTTTACATTTGAAGTTCTGGTCCACTATAATAAAATTTCAAAATTTGAATTTTGTGCAGGTCACAAAAGGGCAGGCACTCCATTTGCTATCCCAGGAGGCAGCTGGGTCATTATATCCATAAGCAGAGTGCTGAATAGTTGTTGTCAGACATGAGGGGAGAAGTGTGGGGAATTATAATTTAGTGGATACAGACTTGGATGAGTTTCAATTTAAGAAAAAAGTGTTTCAAATTTAAATGTATTCTAGTATAATATGGAGGACCCAACAAAAGAAGAAAGGTATTATCAAGGTTAGGTTTCCTGACAGGCTCTGATGCTGGGTTGTGGCCACAAGAAGAATGAGCTGAAGAACCCCACCACCAACAACAACCCCCAGAAACCACACCTTGATGAAGGTGGGCTGAGATGAAGTGGCAACAAAGCTTTGGTCAGTTCTATGAACTCTGGACCAAGAATGGCCCTTTAGAGTTGTCTTTAACGTTGGGAGAGGAAGCACTCGGTGTACGCTAGCACCAGCTAGTCATTGGATGTGAACTGCCTTATGGGTATAATTTTGGGTGGTTCCTCTCCCCTGACTTCACAGGCATTCCTTGGGTGAGGCTAAGTCAGGAGCTTATGGCCAACAACACTGCTGGCAGCAGCCAGGTCAGAGCCTTTGCCTCCGGTAGGATGTGGACAGCTTTCCACTGTGCTCCCTAGTATATTTAGATGACTGCATCCCTCTGCCATGTTCATTATATGCAAAATTCTACATGTACTGGGATCCAAGGCTAGACTGTTCTATCTGGTGATTTATTCACTACTCTGCTATTAGTATGTAGTATTGTGCTAAAAATTGTAGACTTCGAGATGGGAGTATGACTAGAGGCCTTACGCTATCATATATAAGGCCATGAATTCATTTCCCAGCACCATAAAATCATCATCATTATAAAGTGACAATTTAAAAACTCTGATTTTGTTTTGTTTTGTTCTGTTTTCAAGACAGGGTTTCTCTGTGTAGCCTTGGCTGTCCTGTACTCTCTTTGTAGGCCAGACTGGCCTCGAACTCTCAGAGATTCACCTGCCTCTGCCTCCCTGAATGCTGGGATTACAGGTGCGCACCACTGCTCCCGGCCCTAATTTTTCTTTACATAGTGAGCTGGTGGTACTACTTCATCCCTTGGTGTACTAATACCCTGTTTTTCACACACCCCTTTTTGTATGAGACAGGATATCACATAGCCCCTGTTGGCTTCAAACTAACCATGTGCAGATAACTTAGAACTTCTGATCCTCCTGCCTCCACCCCCCCCCCCCACCCGAGTGCTGGGATTACAGAAGTACAGTGCCATGGCCAGCCAGTTTCTGAGACACTAGCGATCATGTTCAGGCCTTCATGGATGCTAAACAGTTTACCAGCTTGTCAGGGACCACCTGAGGGAACTCGCTAACTTCAGAGACCACCTGTGGAAGCTTACCAACTTGCCTCAATTTGCCTGTTCCCTTACCTGCAGTAAACATACTGCTTGGAGATGCCTGTTCCCTTACCTGCAGTAAACATACTGCTTGGAGATGTCAGAGACCACCTAAGAAACTCACCAACCTGCCTCAACTTGCCTGTTTCCTTACCTGTGGTAAACATACTGCTTGGCAACAGCAGAGATGTGCTCACAGAACCGTGGCTTATCACAAGATGTTTCAGGCCCCTGGCCGAGAAGAATCTGTAACGTTTCACTCACCCTACTTCCTCATCCTGAACCCTATTTAAAGCTGATTCTGCTCTGTAAAGTTAGTCCTTGACAAGCACCTGTTTGCTTGGACTGTTTTCTCTTTCTCACCCATCTTTTCAAAGGTTTGGATTCTCTTTTAACCCGCGAATAACCTTAGCTCCGCTGGCCGGAGCAGGTGGCGCCCAGACGTGGGGCTAGAAGAACGAATCCCTTCCGGAAGGAGACTCCCGAGAACAGTGACCGGTTATTCTCCCTGAAGGCCGCCGCTTCTAGACCCGCAAAACAGTAAGGCCTGGTAAGTGTTGTTCTCCCTCATCATTCTGTCCTATCAAGATGGGCTATTCATTGTCAAAGGAAGCATGTTTCACTCGGGATCTCAAGGCTTCCCTCAGAGAGAGAGGAGTAAGGGTTAAGAAAAAGGACCTCATAAATTTCTTTTGTTTTATTGATGAAGCCTGTCCTTGGTTTATGATAGACGGGCCAACCATTCATCCTAAAAAATGGCAAAAGGTTGGAAGAGAATTAAATCAAAGAATGGAAACTGAAGGAGAATCTTCCGTTTCCCCTACTGTTTTCTCCTACTGGGGATTAATTAGAGATATCGTCGAAAATGCAGACGATGACCCTGGAAAGCGCAGACTCTTATCTGTTGCTGAATTTTGCCTCCACTCTGCCTCTTGTTCCGCTTCTCGATCCGCTTCTCGACCTCCGTCTCAAGCCTCTGCTTCACTTTCACTTTTAGAAGCCTCTCCTTCTAAAGTTTTGCCTACATACCCGTCTTTAGTGGCACAAATTTTAAGATTGGGTCGAGAATATCCCTTTAAATTATTTGGAAAAGATCCTGACACTATTTGTGTCCCTTATACTGCCTCTGAAGTTCAGTGGCTTTTACAGCTTTCTGGTGAGTGGACCGTTAATTGTATTTCCTTTCAAGGAAAAATAGACAATCACTACCCTGCTGATAAGCTGGTCCAATTTTTGTATAAACAGCCCATTGTTTTCCCCAAGCGGACCAAGACATCCCCCATCCCTGGGGCTGTATTGGCCTTTACTGATGGCTCCTCTTCTGGGATTGCAGCCTTTAATATTAATAACAAAATCTTTCAGGCTCAGACTAAATTTACCTCAGCACAACTTGTTGAATTAGACGCCGTTATTCAGGTTTTTAAAGTTCTTGCTGATCAACCATTTAATCTTTATACCGATAGTGCCTATGTTGCCACGGCGGTTCCTCTTCTTGAGACCGTTCCTTATATTCGCCCTTCTACAAATGCTTCACCTCTTTTTGCCAAACTTCAACAATTAATACTAGCAAGAGATGACCCCTTTTTTATAGGACATATTCGGGCACATTCGGGACTCCCCGGAACATTAAGTAAAGGAAATAAACTTGTTGATCGGGCCACACAGAATATTGTTGTAACTGGCACAGTTGCCACCGTGGCCTTGCCCGATCCAGTAACTCAGGCACAAGAGGCTCATCGGTTACATCATTTAAATGCCCAGACCCTTCGACAAATGTTTTCCATCCCCCGAGAACAGGCTCGACAGATTGTTCGACAATGTCAAGGTTGTCTGACACTTCTGCCTGAGCCGCATTTGGGGGTCAATCCCCGCGGTCTCACCCCCGGAGAGCTATGGCAAATGGATGTGACCCACTATCCACCCTTTGGCAAGCTAAGATATATCCATGTTTCCATAGACACCTTTAGTGGATTCCTATGTGCCTCATTACAGACCGGGGAGGCCACAAAAAATGTTATTAGTCATGTCCTTGCCTGTTCTGCCTTCATGCCCTTACCTAAGATTATTAAAACAGATAATGGGCCTGGTTATACTAGCTCCAGCTTTAAGCAGTTTTGTGCTCAGCTTAATATTAAACACCTTACAGGCATCCCTTACAACCCTCAAGGACAGGGCATTGTAGAAAGAGCACATCAAACCTTAAAAAACATGCTTAATAAATTACAACATTCTGGAGGAGTATTATACCCACGTAAAGGTAATTTTAAGACCTTGTTAAATCATGCTTTATTTGTTTTAAATTTTTTAACCTATGATAATAATGGAAAATCTGCAGCTGATCGGTTTTGGCACCCTACCACGGCTGATTCCTATGCTCAGGTCTTATGGAAAGACCCTCTAACCTTTAAATGGTCTGGACCTGACCTAGTACTCATTTGGAGAAAAGGCCATGCTTGCATCTATGACTCCAAAGTTCAAAGTGCTAGATGGCTTCCTGAAAGGCTAATTAAATTGGTTGACCCTCCCAGGGAAATCCCTGAGAAAGATTCTCACTGTGCTTAATTACAAAACCATGAACATCCTACAGACCTCCCTTGTTACATGGTTGGCAACCCGGCTGGTGGTATATAATACCAGCCTACCCGAATACCAAGAGTGCTGGATTTGCTTTCCCCCCACACCTCCCTTTTATGAGGGTATTGCCTCCTTTGTAAACCCCATCCCCACTAATGATGCCAATTCCCTTTCATGGGCCGCTGATACATCTGGAGGCCTCACTCTTAGCATGGTATCAGGCTTAGGACATTGCTTACTAGGACCAAATATGCTTCCCCCCGCTTCTTTATTACAAGTTTGCAATCAAACCTCTGTTGTAAATAATTTCTTCACCTATACTAAAGCTCCTGATAATACTTATCTGGCTTGCTCTCTTGGATTAACTACCTATATAGTTAATTTGGTCTTTCTTACAAAAAGGGATTTTTGTGTACTTGTTTCCATTCTCCCTTGGCTTTTTATACATAATTCGGATAACTTTCTAAACTTTTGGGAGAAAAAAACCTATTCATCAAGAACCAAGAGAGAGCCTCTCACAGCAGTTACACTTACTGTCATCCTTGGCCTGAGTACCGCTGGGGCCGGAACAGGCATTGCTTCTCTTGTTACTTCTCAACAGCATTACGCACAATTAACTGCTGCTGTTGATAAAGATATCCAAGAACTCCACCAAGGAACGCAAAATCTTAAGGATTCTCTAGCCTCCTTATCAGAAGTGGTTCTCCAGAACTGGCGAGGCTTAGATTTGGTCTTCCTCAAAGAAGGGGGACTGTGTGTAGCTCTCAAGGAGGAATGTTGCTTCTATGCTGATAAGACCGGATTAGTACAAGACAGTCTTGATAGAGTCAAACGTAGTTTGGAAGAAAGGAAAAGAAAGAGAGAACAACAAGAATCCTGGTATAAAAATTGGTTCTCTGCTTCTCCCTGGATTACTACCCTGCTCCCAAGCCTGTTGGGACCTTTTGTTGGCATTCTCTTACTCCTCTCCTTTGGCCCTTGGGCCTTTAATAGATTAACCAGCTTTATTAAGTCACAGGTAGACTCAGCAATGAAACCGTTGCGGTCCATTATCATCGCCTGAACACCACGGAGGACCCCCCCCGTGGACTCCACCATGGACAAGAGCAGCACAACACCTCAACGCCTTGACTTCTCGTCCCTCAAAACAACCGGGGGGAGGTCTTGGTTTCGCCTGTTAGTTAGGGAGTGTAAGACCTGGGGTCTCACAGCTCAGGAGTTCAAGATTGCGCCCTTCCCAGAAACTCCCCCAGACCAAGACTCGTTGCAAAAGCAAGAGGTTTATTAACCATTGTGCAATGGGGTCACCCCTGCCGGTCAGCAAAGAGTGGCACCGGGAGACAAAGGCCTTTAGGTTTTTAAAAGAAAAATTGCGGGAGATTTGAAGTTGCAGTCTTGGCAATTTAGGATTGGATGAGGAAGCTATAAAGTAAGATAATTGGTTAGTCTTAGGTGCTCAAGCTTGGCCAGTCCTGCCAAGTGTGAATGCAGCTGCAATTGAAGGTGGGGGTGGTTAGCTCATCCTTGAAAATTAGGGGCTACAGACTTTTGGCTGGAGGTCAAAAGCTACTCAGAAGAAGTCTAGGTTTGTTGCTAAGAAATGCTATCTCAAAGACAGGAGTTTTTCTTTTTGCTGAGTGAAGGTCATTGCTTGCTTGCCTTTTTTTTTCTATCTGTCCTCATAGATAAGGTCACATTTTTCCATTCTCTGGAAAGGTACTAAGAGGCTTTAGCTTAACCTGAACCTAAAACTCAAAACTATAGGCTTTAGAAGACATATAGGTTACAAAGTTAGTCTAACCCTTTCAGGAGAAATAAGTGTGGAGTTTCCCTAATGGTTCCTGCAGCTTCCTAATTGGCTGTTATAATTGGTTAATATTCACTGTGGTAAAATGTGATAAAAAATTGATCAAGATTGGCTTTTCAAATTCTCCATGGCCACTTTTGGGCGAGCTATCTTATATCTTGTGGGCAGGTGATCTAAAAAAGCGTTACTTTCCACAAAGTGAGTGGTCTGGTAAGTCAGAGACGGAATGAACAAATAAGCCTTGGTCCACCTAAGACAGGATGACCTCGTCTGGAGGAGGCCGCTCCCATGATGGGTAAGGCCCGAGCCTTGTCATTCTAGCAGGCTCAGACCCCATTTGTGCCCCATGTTTGGACTGATGACTGGTGGTTGCAGACTTGGGTCCTCAAAGCAGGACCTGGGTGCTAAAACCTCAAACCGTCACTCCTGGGGGATGCAATCTGCCTTGCCCACAGTTGCTGATGCTCAGCCCTTTGGCCTCACTACCACAGTTTCTATCCCCTATCATAAAATTAAAAATTTCATTTGGCAAATTAAAAACAATTAACCCCGATTTACAAAGTTCCCCATTTTACGAGCTGCAGCAAATCATCCCTTTCTTCCATTTTATTTAGACTAGAGAGGGGGAGATGTCAGGGACCACCTGAGGGAACTCGCCAACTTCAGAGACCACCTGTGGAAGCTTACCAACTTGCCTCAATTTGCCTGTTCCCTTAACTGCAGTAAACATACTGCTTGGAGATGCCTGTTCCCTTACCTGCAGTAAACATACTGCTTGGAGATGTCAGAGACCACCTGTAGAAACTCACCAACCTGCCTCAACTTGCCCGTTTCCTTACCTGTGGTAAACATACTGCTTGGCAACAGCAGAGATGTGCTCACAGAACTGTGGCTTATCACAAGATGTTTCAGGCCCCTGGCCAAGAAGAATCTGTAACGTTTCACCCACCCTACTTCCTCATCCTGAACCCTATTTAAAGCTGATTCTGCTCAGTAAAGTTAGTCCTTGACAAGCACCTGTTTGCTTGGACTGGTTTCTCTTTCTTGCCCATCTTTTCACAGGTTTGGATTCTCTTTTAACCCTCGAATAACCTTAGCTCCGCTGGCCGGAGCACCAGCTGAGCTACATCCAGCCCTATATAGTCTTGTAATATGTTGTAATATATTCTACAGCTAGAGCTTTGTCATTTACTTTAAAATTTTCCTGGTTATTTTTTCTTAGTTTTCTGTATAAGCTCTAGGTTCATTTTTTTAGCAATATTTGAGAGGAATGGCTGAATTGAATACATAGGTTAATTTGATTCAAAGTCATCACACTCCCAAAGATTATCTTGTTCGAATACTTTTTTTTAAAAAATAATCTTTTGTGTTGCTCATTGGTGTTCTAAACTTTTCTTTAGCAAATAATTATGTATCTTTTGTTAATTTCCTACCTAGATTATTTTATATTTTCACTATTTTTCTAAGTGGGACATTTGCTCAGTGAAAGAATAAAGCCCTAGCATAATGCTGGCAACACTATTTTGCAAGACTGAAACAGTACAAGGTCAGAAGCAAGGCAGGACAGATGTCCAACAGCAGGATATCTGCGGTTGGGCACCTGGCCTATGAGGGGAAACGGAAAGTCCCTGATAAAAACACTCTGGGTACCCGAGATAAGGGCCAGGTACATGACTCGGCTCACATCTGCCTTCCCGCCTTCCCTGTTCTGGGTACGTGACTCGGCTCACATCTGCCTTCCCGCCTTCCCTGTCCTGGGTACCTGACGCAACTATGGCTTTGTTCAAACCACCCAATTAGATCCCTGTAATTATGCTTCTTGCTTCTGTAACCGTGCTTCTTGCTCCCGAGCCCTATAAAAACCCATCACCCCAACCGAGAGGTGCACAAGTCCTCCGAAGGGCTTTGTCGCCCCGGGTACCCGTGTATCGAAATAAACCTCTTGCGGCTTGCATCCGAAAACTGGTCTCGCTGTTCCTTGGGAAGCGGGGTCTCCCTGTCTAAAGAGGCTCTAGCGGGAGTCTTTCATTTGGAGGTTCCACTGAGACTTGAGACCCCCGCCCAGGGACCACCGACCCATCATCGGGAGGTAAGCTGGCCAGCAGAGTGTCTCTTGTCTTCGTTCCGTCACGTGTTTGTTGCCTGTTCTATCTCTTGAAATTTGTACGATTCAGCTGAGTCGCTCCGTATTAGGCGGAAACTAGAAGGAGCTGACGAGCTCGGACTTCTTTTCCGCAACTCTTGGGAGACGTCCCAGGAGTGTCTGGGGGCCCGATTTTGGGGGCCCGTCTGTTTGGAGACACGACCCAACCCGGACTTTTTGGGGCTTCGCCCCTGTCCGAGGGCTACATGTCTCTTCTGGGAGACGAGGGATCCAGACCCTCTTCACAGTCTCCATCTGAAGTTTTGCTTTCGGTTTGGCGCCAGAGTCGTGCTGCGCGCTGCGTTTGTGTCACTGTCTGTCTATTGTTCATCGGGTTTGTGTTTGGTGTTAGTCTCTTTGAAACCATGGGACAGTCTCTAACTACCCCCTTAAGCCTCACTCTACAGCACTGGAAGGACACCCAGAACATCGCTTGTAGTCACTCTGTAGAGATCCGGAAAGGAAAATGGGACACCTTCTGCTCCTCAGAATGGCCGACATTTAACGTTGGCTGGCCACGAGATGGCACCTTTAACCTAGATATTATTTTGCAGGTTAAGGCGAAAGTCATGGATTTAGGGCCACACGGCCACCCGGACCAGGTACCCTACATTGTTACTTGGGAAGCCCTGGCCCGGGAACCACCCTCATGGGTCAAGCTGTTTGTCACCCCCAGCCCCCTTGCTGTTCCCTCTGCCCCTGCCCTACCTCCTCTGCTGGTCCCCACACCCTCTAAGTCTGCCCTCTACCCAGCTATAACAAAGCAGACCCAGGGACGTGATCCAGGGGGCAAAAAGACACCGACGCCCCCGGTACTGCCAGCAGACGATGGCCCCTTGTTGGACCTGCTGACTGAAGAACCTCCTCCCTATAGGGACCAAGATCCGGGAGAAGCCGCCGCAGCCGGACCTCAGGAGGAACCGGCTCCTTCCCCGATGGCGGGGTGATTGAAAGGGCGCCGAGAGGCCCCTCCAGATTCCACATCTCAGGCTCTCCCATTACGAGCGGGACCCGACGGCCAGCTCCAATACTGACCTTTTTCCGCTTCAGATCTATATAACTGGAAAAACAATAACCCCCCTTTCTCTAGGGACCCTTTTAGACTTACTGCTTTAATCGAGTCCATTTTAGTAACCCACCAGCCCACCTGGGACGATTGTCAGCAGCTGTTACAGGCTCTCCTGACCACCAAGGAGAAGCAACGGGTCATTTTGGAAGCCCGTAAAAACGTTCCGGGGGATAACGGGCAGCCTACTCAGTTGCCAAACGAGATCAACAAGGCCTTCCCCTTGGAACGACCTGATTGGAACTTCGCACGGAGGACGGTAGGAATCATTTACGTCTCTATCACCAGTTGCTGATAGCGGGTCTCCATGGGGCAGCAAAGCGCCCCACTAATTTGGCCCAGGTTAAGTTAGTGACCCAAGGGTCAGAGGAATCTCCCTCCGCCTTCTTAGAACGACTAAAGGAAGCCTATCGTGTGTACACCCCTTATGATCCGGAGGACCCTAACCAGGCTACCAATGTGGCCATGTCCTTCATCTGGCAGTCTGCCCCAGATATCAGAAAAAAAATTAGAAAGGCTTGAGAACTTAAGGGAAAGTACAATCCAGGATTTGTTAAAAGAGGCAGAGCGGATTTTCAACAAGAGAGAGACTCAAGAAGAGAGAGATGAAAGGTTGAGAAAAGAGGCAGAAGAGAGAGAGAACAGTAGAGACCGCAAGAGGAATAGGGAATTTAGCAAATTGCTGGCCACTATAGTGACAGGACAGAGACAGGATAGACAGGGCCTGGGAGACCGCAGGGGTCCTCGGGTAGACAAAGATCAATGCGCCTACTGCAAGGAAAAAGGGCAGTGGGTCCGAGACTGCTCAAAGAGACCAAAAGGGCCACGGAAGCCTAAGCCCCAGGCCACCCTGCTAAACCTGGAGGATTAGGGAAGTCAGGGTCAGGAGCCCCCCCCGAACCCAGGATAACCCTTAATGTGGGGGGGCAACTCGTCACCTTCCTGGTGGACACCGGAGCCCAGCACTCGGTGCTCACCACCTCATCGGGACCCCTGACTGACAAATCGGCGTTGGTTCAAGGAGCCACCGGAGGAAAAAGGTACCGATGGACAACTGAAAGAAGAGTACAACTCGCCACCGGTAAGGTGACTCACTCCTTTTTACATGTTCCTGATTGCCCTTATCCTCTGTTGGGGAGAGATCTATTAATGAAACTCAGGGCACAAATCCACTTTGATGGGACTAAGGCCCACATTACTGGGCCACAGGGACAGCCTTTACATGTGTTAACCATAAATCTGGAGGACGAATACCAGCTTCACGAGCCTGAAAGGCTTCGGCCGCAAGAAATGACTGTCTGGTTAGAAAAATTCCCTTTAGCCTGGGCGGAAACAGGGGGAGTGGGTCTCGCAACCCACCAACCGCCCCTGGTAATTACTTTAAAGGCACCGGCAACTCCTATTTCCATTAAGCAATACCTGATGTCGCATGAAGCTTGCCAAGGAATTAGGCCCCACATTCGGAGACTTTTAAACCAGGGCATCCTGGTACCTTGTCAATCCCCCTGGAATACGCCTCTCCTTCCGGTCAAAAAGCCAGGGACGGGAGACTACCGCCCAGTGCAGGACTTGAGAGAAGTCAATAAAAGGGTGGAGGATATACACCCTACAGTTCCTAACCCGTACAATTTGTTGACTGGGCTTCCTCCGACGCACACCTGGTATATGGTATTAGACCTTAAGGATGCGTTCTTCTGCTTGAGGCTCCACCCTCGGAGTCAGCCCATCTTTGCCTTCGAGTGGAAGGACCCGGAATTGGGAATGTCGGGTCAGCTCACTTGGACCAGACTCCCACAGGGGTTCAAAAACAGCCCCACCTTATTTGATGAGGCGTTGCACCGGGACCTGGCCGACTTTAGGGTTCACTACCCTGCCTTAATCTTGCTCCAATATGTTGATGACCTCCTCCTGGCTGCGAAAACTGAGGGAAAATGTCAGGAAGGAACTAAGGCCCTTTTGAGGACCTTAGAAACTCTAGGATACCGGGCCTCAGCCAAAAAGGCCCAATTATGCCAGAGGCAGGTTACATACCTGGGCTACCAAATCAGAGATGGACAGAGATGGTTGACAGAGGCACGGAAACAGACAATCCTAAAGATTCCGGTGCCCAAAAGCCCGAGATAGCTAAGAGAGTTCCTGGGTACAGCGGGGTTCTGCCGCCTCTGGATTCCAGGGTTTGCGGAAATGGCTGCGCCACTTTACCCACTCACCAAGCAAGGGACTCTCTTTACTTGGGGAGATGAGCAGCAGAGAGCCTATGCAGCCATAAAAGAGGCCCTGCTAACCTCCCCCGCGATGGGGCTTCCGGACTTAAACAAGCCCTTCGAACTGTTTGTAGATGAAAAACAGGGATATGCTAAAGGAGTCCTGACCCAAAAACTGGGACCATGGAGGCGCCCGATAGCCTACCTGTCCAAGAAACTTGACCCGGTGGCCTCGGGATGGCCACCCTGCCTGAGGATGGTGGCAGCAATTGCCCTCCTGACTAAAGACTCTGGCAAGCTGACTATGGGACAGCCAATAACAATTTTGGCTCCTCATGCAGTGGAAGCCCTGGTCAAACAACCTCCGGGCCAATGGCTTTCCAATGCCCGCATGACCCACTACCAGGCTCTACTGCTGGACACTGATCGAGTATACTTTGGCCCTATAGTAGCTCTCAATCCGGCATCACTGCTTCCCCTACCGGAGGGTCCAGAAACTCATGACTGTCTCCAGATACTCGCAGAGGTACATGGCACCCGGCCCGACCTGACCGACCAGCCCCTCCCTGACGCCGACTTCACCTGGTACACCGACGGGAGCAGCTTTCTGGATAACGGAGAATGGAGAGCAGGGGCCGCAGTCACCACCGAGACTGAGGTAATTTGGGCTAAGGCCCTACCACCTGGCACTTCGGTGCCACGGGCTGAACTCATCGCCCTAACTCAGGCCCTCCGGATGGCGGAAGGTAAGAAGCTCAACGTTTATACTGACAGCCGCTATGCCTTTGCCACTGCTCACATCCATGGGGAGATATATCCGGAGAAGAGGGTTGCTAACCTCGGAAGGAAAACAAATCAAAAATAAAGCTGAAATATTGGCCCTGCTTAAAGCATTGTTTTTACCCTCAAAACTGAGCATCATCCATTGCCCCGGCCACCAAAAGGGAGACAGCGGAGAAGCCAGGGGCAACCGCTTGGCGGACGTAACTGCCCGAGAAGCAGCGATGCAAGGAAGCTCAGATACCTCCCAGCTCCTGGCTATAAAACCGGCCGAGGCAGAGGTCCCCTCCATTCAGGAATCCCCCTTCCACTATAGTGAGGAAGATCAGGACCTCCTAAAAGAAATGGGGGCCACTTACAATCCCGCGCTAAGACTCTGGACTTTCAAAGAAAAACCTGTGTGGCCCCTGCAACAGACTCGTAACCTGATTAAATACCTCCACAAACTGACTCACCTTAGCTCCAGAAAAATGAAAACCCTCCTAGAAAGGGAAGAAAGCTCCCACTATCTGCTGGGGAGGAATAAAATTCTACAGCAAGTGGCTGAAGAGTGCACAGCATGCGCCCAAGTAAATGCAGGACGCCATAGGGTAGGCCCTGGGACCAGGATCCAGGGACATCGCCCCGGCACCCACTGGGAGATTGACTTCACAGAGGTAAAACCTGGACTCTATGGATATCGGTTCTTACTGGTATTTGTGGACACCTTCTCGGGATGAGTAGAAGCCTACCCCACCAAACATGAAACTGCTAAAGTAGTCACCAAAAAGCTTCTGGAAGAAATCTTCCCCAGGTATGGCATGCCCCAGGCGTTGGGCTCTGACAATGGCCCTGCCTTCGTCTCCCAGGTAAGTCAGTTAGTGGCCAAACTGTTGGGGATCAATTGGAAATTACATTGTACATACCGTCCCCAGAGCTCAGGGCAGGTAGAACGAATGAATAGAACTATCAAAGAGACTTTATCCAAATTAACGCTGGCAACTGGCTCTAGAGACTGGGTGGTCCTCCTCCCATTGGCCCTATACCGGGCCCGGAACACCCCGGGCCCCCATGGACTCACTCCTTTCGAGATCCTGTATGGAGCCCCACCACCGGTCGTTAACTTCTTTGATCCCTGTGTAACCTCCTTTGCTGACAGCCCCTCTCTAAAAGCTCATTTGCAGGCACTGCAGATTGTCCAGAAAGAAGTCTGGAAACCCATCGCTACTACATACCAGGAACAGCTAAACCAACCGGTGGTGCCGCATCCTTTCCAGATCGGAGACACAGTTTGGGTCCGCCGACATCAAACCAAGAACTTAGAACCCCGCTGGAAAGGACCATATACTGTGTTGCTAACAACCCCGATGGCGCTCAAGGTCGACGGTATCGCAGCGTGGGTGCACGCCTCCCATGCCAAAGCGGCCCATCACGACGCAGAGCAAGATCAGGCTCCAGCCTCCTCATGGAAACTCCATCGCACCCAAAATCCACTAAAGATAAGACTTACCCGGGTTTGATATTCTTTCTCTTCCTGTTCGCTCTGTCACACTCCAGTCCCCACATCCCTGTGAACTCGACTTGGGTCCTGCTAGATGGATTTGGTGTCCCTCTTAACAAGACTTCCAAAATGGCCCCCCCGTACACTTGGTTCCCTGAACTAAGTTTTGATCTAGCTCAGGCCATGCCACCCGGGTCCTATGCCAGACGCAGCGTAGACGTCAAAAAAAAGACATTTATGTTGCTTTTATGCTGACCATACTGGACTGGTAAGGGATAATATGGCTAAACTCAGAGAAAGACTCAGACAGAGACAGCAATTCTTTGAGTCAGGACAGAGCTGGTACGAGAGATGGTTTAGTCAATCCCCCTGGATCACCACCCTGATCTCCTCCATTATGGGTCCCCTAATCATAATTCTCCTGATTTTACTAGTTGGGCCTTGTATCCTAAATCGGCTAGTTCAGTTTATAAAGGACCGGCTCTCCGTCATACAGACGTTAGTGCTAACCCAGCAGTATCATCAACTCAAGCAGCTAGAGACGGAGATTGACTCTCCCTAGACCCGTAGAATGAAGGATTCCATTCTAGGCTAGAAGAAAAATGGGGGAATGAAAGAATAAAGCCCTAGCATAATGCTGGCAACACTATTTTGCAAGACTGAAACAGTACAAGGTCAGAAGCAAGGCAGGACAGATGTCCAACAGCAGGATATCTGCAGTTGGGCACCTGGCCTACGAGGGGAAATGGAAAGTCCCTGATAAAAACACTCTGGGTACCCGAGATAAGGGCCGGGTACGTGACTCGGCTCACATCTGCCTTCCCGCCTTCCCTGTCCTGGGTACGTGACGCAACTATGGCTTTGTTCAAACCACCCAATTAGATCCCTGTAATTATGCTTCTCGCTTCTGTAACCGTGCTTCTTGCTCCCGAGCTCTATAAAAACCCGTCACCCCAACCGAGAGGCGCGCAAGTCCTCCGAAGGGCTTTGTCACCCCGGGTACCCGTGTATCGAAATAAACCTCTTGCGGCTTGCATCCGAAAACTGGTCTCGCTGTTCCTTGGGAAGCGGGGTCTCCCCGTCTAAAGAGGCTCTAGCGGGAGTCTTTCACTCAGCATTTCTGATCCACCTATAAATTATTTCTATGTACTCATTTCAAGCAACAGTTGATATAGTTAATATAGTTCTCCTGCTTCAGCCTCCTGAGTGCTGTTATTGTTGTTTTCAACTTGACCCAGGCTAGAGTTATCTGGGAAGACGAATCGCAGCTGAGAAAATGTGTCCATGCAGATTGCTTGTAGGCAAGTCTGTAGGACATTTTTTAAAATTAATAATGGATGGAGGACCACCCATCAATTGATGGGAGGGGTGATGGGTGCCACCCCTGGGCAGGTGGTTCTGGAGTATATTAAGGAAACAAACCAAGGAAGCTACTGGGAGCAAGCGAATAAGTAACATTTCTCCATGGCTTCTGTTTCAGTTCCTGCCTCCAGCTCATTCTTCAATGAGCTCTAGGTTCTTGCCTTGCTTGAGTCCCTGCCTTGGATTCCCTCAAAGGCTGTGATACAGGCTGTTTAATCCAAATAAACCTTCACAAATTGCTTTTGGTTAGTATTTTATCACAGGAATAGAAAGCAGACTAAGACACATGCCATGTGTCTTTACCTGCTGAGCTACCACAAAGCCATTTCTGTTCTCTTTTAACTGATGATGATGCGACAGAATGTGTTCTCATTTAAAGAAATACCCTCAGGGAAAAAAGTGGTATCAGAATTTCAAAAGTGGAAACTGAAATAACAATAGACAGTAATAATTGGAGGACAGACTATGGGAAGAGATAACTAACATTAAAGACCCCTTGAAAGTGCTCATGGAAAAGTCATTTAGATGGCATTGTCCTACAGCAGGGAGGAGGAGACATACCATAAGCTATCAAATCAAGAATCCAGTGGCATATATACCATCTCTTTGAGATGTTCATCAGTGGAGTTCCATAGACCACCTGAAACATTACAGGTTAATGCCACTGTTTTTGGCTACCCCTCAGAACTGGATAGTAAGACCGTATTGGTAAAAAAAACACTACATGTTTGAATGACAGGACGTGGATAAATCAAGCTGATACTGACACAGGAGCTTCATCCCCTCTGGTTACCTTTCACTGAGGGAGAAAAATTGTCAACAGTCTTCCCAGGCTGTGAATCTGTGAGCTATACTAGTAACTGGCCTGACAAGGTATGCCCACTTGTGTAATAGTGGCACAAATACTATACAAGTAACCACCTCTTATTGGATTTAAAGGCCACTCCACAAGATGGAACTTATGACTGTTATCATTTACTAAGCCAAAAACCCATGGCTGGCTAGTGTCTGCGCCTTTGGAGAAAGCCTGATACTGTTATTCTATTAGATGAATGTAGTATTTAACTCACTAAGTTCTTACCTTTATATCCTTGGTTAGTACATAGCCCCAGCCTCGTCAGAAAAGCTTCTTTTTACAGTAGATATAGATTAATGCAAAGACCCACAACTGGTTGATGTAAAGAGGCTGAGAAATGTTCCTCTGAGTGGGATATCTGTATCATACTCTCTCCTGGAAAGGCTCAAGGACCATCTCAGAAGAGGGGGTGATAAGACTGTGAGAGCCAGACATAGTGGATGAGACCAGCCCAAGACCAAGCCAGTTAAAATCCCAGCATGGTTGAGCGAGTGGCTCATGGAGTCCCTCCCCCACCCCAGCTGAAAGCTATTGGCAATTGGTGGCGTCTGGGAGGAGGGAGAGTGTTCTAGTTAGCTTTCTGTCATTTTGATAAGAAGCACAACCAAAAGCAACTTTGAGTTGAAATGGTATATCTGATTTATGCTTTCATTTCAAAATGCATTATTAAGGGAAATCAGGACCTCAAGCAAGAACTGAAAAGCTGCTTACTGCTTCTCTCTGCCCTCTGCTGTTTGTTTGTTTGTTTGCTGTTTGTTGGAGACATAGTTTCTCTGTGTAACAGCCCTGGCTGTCCTGGAACTTGGAGATCTACCTGCCTCTACCTCCTAGTGGTGGGATCAAAGGCATGCGCCACCTACCTCTCTTACACAACATAGGACCCCCGCCTAAAAATGGTGTGCCAAGAGTGGGTAGAGCTCTCCTACTTATATTAGCAATAAAGAAAATACCCCCACAGGCATGCTGTAGGTTAAGCTGATTGAGGCAATTCCTCAAGGCAATTCCTCAAGGGAGACTCTCTCAGATGGCTCTGGGCTTTCTTAAACTGGCAGCTGCAGCTAACCAGGAGAGAGTAACATTTTCTCAGGGAGCCAGCCTGAGAGGGTCCTCCTTCCCTGGTAGATGAGCCTTTGCTCATGCACAAACAGGAAACACTTACTGGACCCAGTGAACAGTTTTTTTTTTGTTTTGTTTTTTTTTTTAAGGAATACATGAAATTTGCCTGATGGTGGTGGCACACACCTTTAATCCCAGCACTCAGGTAGCCGAGCCAGGCAGATTACTGTGAGTTTAAGAACATCCTGGTCTACAGAGCAAGTTCCAGGACAGCCAGGGCTATACAGAGAAACCTTGTCTCAAAACCAAAACCAAACCAAACCAAACCAAACCAAAATAAGCATGAAATTTGTAAGGGAGGGGATGGGACAAGCTTTTATGAAAACATGTTTGTATACATGTCTGAAACTCTCAAACACTGAAAAGGAATTTTAAAAGTCAACCACAACTTGGTTGACTTGTCCATGGTCTGACTCAAGGCTGTATCCTGCCTGCTGCAATACCAACCTGCCAGGAAAGAAATATGCCCAGCAGTGCAATAATGGCATGACGGCTATGGGGTAACTAACCACATTCTGATCGGATTTGAGGCCAGATCCTCAGGAAGGAATCACAGGTCTGGTACTGTAATCCTGGTTAAAGGCACAGCCTGGGGAAGCCGTAGACCCATGGGTAGGATCTGCTATTGTTACTCTACGAAATAGTCATGCTATCTAATTGGCTTCTAAATATTTATGTATACCCATAAACCTGGGCTGCATTCAGCCTTGGTCAGTGAAGCTTTATTATTTATTGTTCTTGCTGTTTTTGGAAGGGATGGCAGTCAAGGGAGAGAGTCATAATTGGTCAAAATGCTGAGAATAAGAGCCTGAGTACTCAGCCCTAAGCAGGACATCCCTGTCAAGTGTCCCCTCAACATGAACATGGTTTGTTTGGGGACTGTCACAGAAAGAGAGGCAGAAGAACATTGTGAAATACCGTCTTCTGTACCTAGCTATCACACTCATGAACTCACAAAGCTGTGGTTACCTGGACAAGATCAAGCTAGATAAAATTCTGGCACGGATGCGGTACATGCTCTCCAGCCTCTATCCCTTATGGGGAGTCCTGGATGAATGTGTGTTGTTGACATGGGACATGGCAATGCCAAGGGCCCCAATTCCTTTAAGCCCACTGGAATGGAAAGGTCTTCCCTTGGTTCAAGTACTGATGTTGACCTCCTGGGCAGAAAGTATCCACCAGCTTCTTCCTAGATGACTGCATCCCGAGACTGCTCCCCTACAGAGAATCTCTGCGCGCAGACTCCCTAACCTACATCAATCAGCTTTATGTAATGAGCCCTCCTCCTCATTCAACTGCATGTAACAAACATGCTGAGTTTCTGGGCTGCTGGTACTTCTCTGTCAGAGCACACAGCCCACTCAAATCCCTTTTCTGTACAGCACATCTATCATTTCTTCATTCTCTGCCACCGCAGTCAGATCAATCCCAGAGAAGCGCAAGTCTCCGAAATCAACAAAATCAAAACAAAACAAAACAAAAAAAAAAAAAAATTCAACCAAAAATTTCAGGAAGAAATATGAAACAATATAATAAAAAGGTAGAAGTCTAAATTTACTTAACCCCAGGGCTTTCTACAGGGAGCAATCACTGCTAGTGCTGAGAGGAGACCATATTGATCCATTGATATAAGTTGTTAGGGTTTGGTTTTGCAAAACAACTTGGTAACAAATAATAGAAGCTCTGGGTGGTGATAGCAGATGCCTTTAATCCCAGCATTTGGGCGCCTGAGGCAGGCAGATGGATCTCTGTGAGTTCAAGGCCAGCCTGGTCTACAGAGTGAGTTCCAGGACAGCCAGGAACTACAAAGAAAAATCCTGTTTCAAAACACAAAACAAAATACCAGAAGCCCAAAAGATGGCCCTAAAGATGTCCATAGCGTTCTATTTGCTCATCCTGCTGCTTAGAGTTTTTGTAAAGAGTTAATCCACTGGAGAAAATGACTGTCTTCAATAAAACTTAATTCCTTTTAAGACATTCTCTGCAACAAAAATAAATGACACTGTCCTACAACAGAGGAATCATTTAGAAAACTCTAAGATATCAACTAAAGATATTATGTGATGTTAAAATGTAGTCAGATGTCTGTGAGATAAAATATGGAAACAATGCTTTATGACATAGTTAAGGAAGATGGAGAGGTCTCTGCCCAAGCCTCTCCCATCCATACCACCCTACCCTAGCTTTAGCTTCCTTGTCTCTATATGAATGACCCAGGTTGTTT